TATTTCATTGAGAAATAAAGTCCCATCTCCCTGACGTGTGACTCCTTTCAGCGCTCTTACTCAGCCACCAGGCAGAATTTATGCTTCCTGGATGCTGTCTCCTGGGATTGCAACTGGAAATTGGGGAGAGAGAGCTGGAGGGGGGGTTCCTTCCTGCTGATGGACGGACATGTGCTAATTCCTCTGGTTTAAGGAGCCCCAGAAACTCAAGGTGTCGGGAGAGAGCCCTCACCTTGGCATGAGGAGCCCGGGGTCGGAGCCCTGGATCTGCCACCTTCGCTATGTGGCCGCGGGCCAGGCCCTGGGCCTCAGTTTCCCCATCTGTAAACTGGGCCGCACGCTTCCTCTCTTCCTCAGGGAGATGGCATGCTGCGGCGTGCAGATGGAGGTGGAATGTTCCTGGAAGCTGTCGGGTGTTGCTATTGTCAGGGAGGCAGAGGAATTCTCTGAGTTGGGGTGGAGGAGGGAGAGGTTGAAATTCTCGAAGGATTTCACTCTCACCTGTATGAGCTTCACCTGGAGAGCTTGTTACAGCACCGAGGCCGGGCCCACCCGCCGAGATCCTGGATTAGGAGGTCTAGGCTCCGGCTCAAGAGTTCGCATTTCTAACGAGTTCAGGTGGTGCTGATGCTGAGGAACCTACTTTGAGAACCGCTCTTCTGGGAGCTTTGAGATCTGGGATGTGGGAGAGGAATGAGGAGCTAGAGCAGTGGTTCTCTGCCTGTGGGTCGCGACCCCTTTGGCGGTCGAACGACCCTTTCACAGGGGTCGCCTAAGACCATCCTGCATATCAGATATTTACATGACGATTCATAACAGTAGCAACATTACAGTTATGAAGTAGCAACGAAAATAATTTTATGGTTGGGTCACAACACGAGGAACTGTATTTAAAGGGCCAGAAGGTGGAGAACCACTGTGTTAGTATGTCTGTTGAGATAGGAAGTCATCACACAGCTCAGGGAATAGAGAGGGAGAAACTGGCTTGATTATATCAGTGGGAAATTGAATTTAATAGGAAAATTGAGAGGGAAAATTATGCTGTAAGACCTTAAAAATCAGGTAAAAGTTAAAACTCTTACAGATGTGAGAGTAGGACACTGGTATGATGAAAGGATGCTCAGGGGAGGGGTTCTCGCAGCAGTGGAGGCTCTCAACCTACCATCTTCACAGGACGGACCCCACGTCACCCTAGAGCAGAGGTGGCCTGACCAGGTACTCCTGTTCCCAGCGTGCCCCACGCTGAAACAGAGGCTCAGAGACGTGAGCTGAGCTGCTCCAGGTCGCCCAGCTTGGGCAGGACCCCCAGCAGGAGGCTCTTCCCACCACGGCCCCTCTGCTTACGCAATGATTTGGAGGATTACGAAGCTGACGGCTCCAGTCCCAGGTTAGGTGATACCCCGATACCCCGTGGGGACTGGCAGCCAAGGCGGAGAGCGTGTGTCGCGATGGAGGAAGGCTGCCGCGGGCAGCATCCAGCATCTGGGAATCCGAGACCTTCAACAAGGGAAAGGCAGTGAGCCTGGATGGGGCAGGGCATGAACACGGGCTTTGTGCTCAAGGAGGGGAACCCCGAAGGGAAATGGACCACTGGCTGCTCCGGGTAACGGAAGAGAAGGATGACACGTGCATCAGGGACCCTGGGCTGCACAGAGTCAAAAAGGGGATGCGGATCCCAGCTCTGAGGGTGTGGAGACACCGATGTCTAAGCACCTACAGCCCAGGTAGTCCGAGGCCCGCCCAGCAGGGAGCTGACCAGGAGGGGAAGAGCCGCTTCCTGTCGGGACTTGGCATTGCAGACGCTCAGTGTCAGCCGGAAGCAAATGCCTGGGAGACCTGGAGGTCCCCGAGGCGGGGCAAACACTCGCACACGTGCACACAGGGCCCCGGGATCAGGGATCAGGCACGGGTGCCACCCAGGCCCTGGCGGACCCGGAGCCCTGGTCACAGCCCGGTCCCACCTTGAGGAAGGACAGAGGAGCCTGCACACCGTCTAATTAACAGCCGTCCGGGCGTGGAGTCGGCCGGCGGGGAGCGAGGAGAGGAAGAGAAGTGGTCTGCTCCCGCGTGCAGAGCTGGGAACAGTGCCCAGAACAGTTAATGCCCGGCCCTCGCAGCCTTGCAAATCGCCGCCCGCTGGGGGCCAAGAGCCTTTTACGCCAGGTGAAGCCTGGCGATTTCATTAACGGCATCCCCTTGGTCTCCTCTCCAAGGTGGTTAAACATGAGGGCCACTTGGTAAAGGGGCTGCCCCGGTTTCCAGGGCTTTCTCGGTGTGTCCGCCCCTGGCCCATGCGGCCGCCAAGCTGGGTGTCTCTGCTGGAAAAGGGGGGTTGAGGGGGGCAGGAGAGAGACAGGCAGGCTGCAGGCCAGTGACATGTCTCACACGTCACCCTCAGAGGGGCCCTTTCCTTCCCTCGGGACGGGTTGGCCTGTCTTGCTCAGGACTGCCTCCCACGGTTCCCTTGCTGCTGCTCTTTCTTGTCCCCCTGATGTACGCTTCTAAAGCAAGAACCAAGTCTGGGCTCCCGCCTTGGCCTGCAGGCCCACCCTGCCCTCCGCTTCCTCCTGCTCATTCCAACGTCGTGGCCTTCTTTCTGTCCCTCCACACCTCCCACTCGCAGTCCCTCTGCCTGGATGCCCCCCAGCTCTTTCCAGGTTCACCCCCTCAGCTGTGCACCCTGACAGTCCCGCCCAAAGCCCCCCACCCCACCCCGCTGCATGCTGGGTCTCTCCAGAGCACGTGGCATTCTCTGCAATTGTCCGTGTCCGTGTTTATGTCGGTCTCCACCCGCCTTCACACGCACACGCACACATGTGCTCCCGCAGGAGGGCCTTTGCCTGACTCGGTCTTCGCTTCCCAGGGCCAGAGCGGGGCCTGGTACAGAGGATGCGCTCCGTAAACATTTGCCGAGTGATGCGGTCCAGGGCGGTACCCAGGGCCCTGGGAACCAGCCGACAGGGAGCCCACAGCTCAGCACCGGCCCTCACCTCCTCCCCTCCAGCCTCCGAGGCTCTTCAAGCGCCAAAGCCCCTGGGAGCTGACCCAGGCCTTCTCTCCTCCCAGCCCAGGCCACAGCCAGCTGTCCAGAGTCTTGGGCCTCCTGCTGGCTCCCCTCTAGGTGTCAGGCTTGCCCTGGCATGGGGGCGGCTGGCCCTGGGTAGCGGCTGCCCGCAGGGGACCTGCCTGGCTGGGGGGGGTGGGGA